CCCCCCCCGTCGACAGGGGGTCGCCAGTCTCTGGCACTGTTATTTTGGGGGTCGCGGGCTGAAAAGTTTGGGAACCCCTGTTTTAGATAAATAGTGTTGTTTTTTTTTTAAGTAGTTCAGTGTTGAAGGTGAGGGTTTAACGACTCATTTACATGAAGAACAATTGAACCTTACCATGAATAGGAAATACTTTTAAAGGGACCACTCCAAAGGATGCCCTCATACTACTAATAAAAAACACCTTTCCCATGGTACTTGTACTGCTAATACTTAGCTCAGTACTAGTGTATTAGTTTAGTTGCCAGCTCATAGAGTCCTATAGTGAACCTGGAAATGTTGAGTACACCAAAGTTTTATGATAGAAATGTATAGTACGGGTCCCCAGCACAAAGAAACTACTGGAGGCTAACCTGCATTTGTTGGGCAATTTGCACATTTAGCATATATGCTTTAATTAGCATGAATTAGCATTGGGGACAATAGTTAAATAATGGCTTTGCAGATTTGGACAATTTTGGAGTGGTTTTGGGGGTTATAGAGGATGCTGAATTAATTTGAGACCTTTATCATATAAAAAATTGCAGTTTTACCAAGAAAATGCCAATATTTGTTCTCTCAATGGGCTGATTTTTATACATTTTGGGTCGGTTTGGAAGATTAATGGGACTGGATCATTTGGATTGGACAGATTGCCTATTTATAAAAAAAAAAAAGAACAGTCCACAGTAGAGATAATCATTTTCATTTTGTGCTCTCTATATCCAATGTTCACAACTCATGGTAGTCAAAATCAGCCCACCTAGAGTACAGATAAAGCCACTTTCTGGTTAAACTGCTATCTTTGATCCTGAAAATGTCAGAAATGGATTCAGCATCCTAGATAACCCTCAAAACCACTCCAAAATTGTCCAAATCGGCCAAGCTATTTTCTTTATTATTGTTTACATAGCACATATGCTAATTGTGCAAATTGCCCAAAATATGCAAGTTAGCATCCGGCGGTTTGTGCTGGGCACCCTACTATACATTTCTAACATACAACTTTAGGTTACTCAACATTTCCAGTGTCACTATGGCAGGCTGGCTATATTGCTAAACAGTCCTGTGAGCAAAACTTAAATTTTTTTCCTCTTGTGTGCCTCCTAACTTCACTGTTGTTCAGTAAGGCAACTATTAACCACTTTGCCAAACTGAGCTAACTTTACCCCAAAGAGTAGGAAGAGAAAGACTCAGGAGTAAAACCAGAGTCCGCACTGAGCTGAAACACGTTG